GGTGAAAGGTTCTGGTTACTGGAGGAAACTCTTTGGAGCTTTGCATTGTCTCTGACTCTATGCTGAGGTTCTAAGCCATTTGCAAGCGCGTGTCCCCGCATGTGCCTGGAGGCCTGGGGCACCTGTGCATGTGGTCACGGGCCTTCCGTGCACACACGGCACCTGCAGTGTGGTCCCAGCCATTCCTCAGCGTTGCATGTGAGTGGTTCTGACGCCCCTGGTCTGTCCTGCGCCCGGTGCCTGTCTGCTGCCTTGTGTGAGCTCGCTGGACCCGCCTCCAGCTGCCACTCAGGGCAGGAGAGATGGACCCCAGTACCCACCCAGCCAGCCCCACCCCTCAACTTTCGCCACCTTCAATTCAGCCTCCACACTGGCTGCAGCTGTGATCTCATCCTTCCTGTCTCGTTTTAATGCCACCTCTTTCAGGAAGCTTCCCCTGTCCAGGAAGCCAGGTGGCCTCACCCCCCTCTGCCTACAGCACAATCTAGGAATGGTCTGCCCAGGTGCAACAGCAGTGCTCCAAGAGGCTTCACTGCTGCCCCAAGTCCCGGCCATCCAGCCCTCTGGACTCACCTGAGGCCCTGCCCTCACTGCAGTCCACTTCTGGCATCAGGATAAGGAGCCCCAGCCTCTGGGCCCTTTCAGGCTTGGCTGTGGCCCTGAGCCACAGGGGTGAAGTTTGCTGAGCCTCACCTGGCTGTCTGCATTGATGGAGGGGCAGGGGTGTGGGGGCAGAGCCAGACACTCAGGGTTGAAACCCAACGCAGTTCGATCAGTCAAACTGCCTCCCTCCCACTGAGAAACAAGGGGCAAAACAGATGTGACCCCAAAATCTCCTGTTTGTTCCTGGTTGAGGAGCTGTGAGTCCAGCAAGGGGCCGGCCAAACTCCAGGACCATGAGGACCAGCCTCCCAGCCCTAGGCTGGGCCGGCACCACAGAGCCACTGAGCACCGGGGCCTTGCTCGAGGCGATCCCTCCAGGGGAAAGGGCAACGCTGGTGGCATTAGAGACATCCAGGCGAGGTGCCCACCCGGGACGCAAAAGGAGGCAGAGCTCCCCCCAGCGACAGTTTCTTCCTCCCGGCTGCTGCACATCACTCAAGAAAGAAGCAAATACCAGGCCAAGCAAAGGGTGCTCCTGGCAGGGCCTGTGGGTGAGAGGTAGGGGTGCAGGAAGCAGCAGGATGGCCCGGAAGGTGGAAGGCCCCAGAAGTCTCTGAGACTGAATAGCTTCCCTTTCACCCCCAGTCCACTGTCTACACGCCCACCTCCGCTCTCCCGTTCTCTCATCCACCATCCTGCCATTGGAACCCAATGTACCATCCACCATCCTCCCCTTCCATCAGCCACAGCCAGTGTCTCCCAGTCCCCAAGGCACAGCATCCATCTCTCCACCAGTCATTCCCTAATGATCAATTCACCTCCCTCTCAGAAACCCAACACCCAATTGTGAAATCATCCACAAACATCATGCACAATCTATCTGCTGTTCATCCAGCTACCTCTCTGCTTCCCATCACCCACAAATCCATCCTCCAGTTACACACCACCCAGCCATTCCAACTGGCATGCTGCAGAGATCCAAGCATGCACTGCAGACCCATCCTTCCAACCCCTACCAATCATCCGTCCATCACCTAGCCCATATTCATTCACAATCCATCCACCATGCTCTGTTCACCCACCAGTTATTTATATGCAAGAACTCCTGTGCTCTCATTCAGCTGCCTACTGTCCATTCACATGTCATCTCAAGCCCATTCACCATTATTCACCCACCATCAATCCATCACTCCACCATTTGGTCTTGTCTACCATCCATCTCCATCCATTCACCATCCAAAATCCCCAGCTTCTCACCCACCATCCATTGCATCAAACTGTCCATACGTGTACATCCTCTCAACAGCTACAGTTTCTCTTTCACCCATCAACCATCCACTTACAGGACCATGACTTATTTTGCCACCATCCACCCTTTCCACCATTCTCCTTTATTCAACTACCCTCGACCATCCATCAACCATCCTTCCACAATTACTTTTCTGTCCATCTATCCACCAATAACATTCACCATCTGTGATCTACCATTCATACACTTACCCATCCACCATCCACAATCAATGATCTACTTTTATTTTTTTTAATCGAGTTTCGCTCTGTCGCCCAGGCTGGGGTGCAGTGGCACAATCTCGGCTCATTGCAACCTCCACTTCCCAGGTTGAAGCAATTCTGCCTCAGCCTCCTGAGTAGTTGAGATTAAAGGCATGTGCCACTACACCCAGCTAATTTTTGTATTTTTAGTAGAGACAGTTTCACCATGTTGCCCATGCTGGTCTTGAACTCCTGACTTCAAGTGATTCTCTCTCTTTGGCCTCCCAAAGTGCTGGGATTACAGGTGTGAGCCACCGTGCCCAGTCATCTATCTACTTTCATCTACCATCCATGATCTCTCTATTGATCATCAACCATCATCAAAATACTATCCTCTCTCAATCCACCACCCATCATCCACCATTCATAAGGCACCACCCACCTATCCGCCATTTACCATACACCATTACCTTCTGTCTATCTACCATCCATCATCCAACATCCATCTATCCACCCATCTACCCATTTATCCAACCTTTATCCACTCATCCACCATCCATTCATCCAGCATCCATCTATCCATCTACCCATCATCCATCCATCCATCTATCCGTCTACCCATCATCCATCCATCTATCCATCCATCCATTCATCCATCTACCCATCAACCATCCATCTATCCATCCACACACCCACCATCCACTCATCCATCATCCGCAGTTCGCTCATCCACCATCCATTCATCCATCCACCCATTCACACATCCACCATCCTCCATCCACCCATCATTCACTTAGCCACCATCCACCATTCATCCATCCACCCATCTATATGTTCATTCACCCGTTCACCACCCACTCATTCCCCAGCCACCATTCATCTATCATCCCTCATCCACTATCTACCATCCACCACCTGTCCATCCACCTTCCACTTATTCACAATCTGACATCCATCATCCACCATTCATCCATCCACACATCCATCCATCCACCCATCCAACATCCAGTATATGCTCATCCACTATCCACCATCTATTTATCCATCCATATGTCCATTTATTCACCCATTCACCATCCACTCAATCACTATCCACCATTCATCTATCATCCCTCATCCACTATCCACCATCCACTTATCCACAATCCATCATCCACCATTCATCCACCACCCATCCATCAATATTCACATCCACCTATTCACCATCCACCATCCACTCATTCACCATCCATCCTTCCATCCACCCACCATCCACCAACAACTCTTCATCTTACTGTCCACCATCTACCATCTACCACTATCCATTCAATATTCACCAGCTACTCATCACCGTTCACTGTCTACTATCCATCATCCACCAACCATCATCCACCAACCGTCATCCACCATTTGTCACTTATCTATTCACCATCCGTTACCCATCAATTTACCATCCCCCAACCACACATTGTCCACTATCCACCATTTATCTATCTACAATTCACCATTTATGCAAACATCATCCACCATCTATCCATCTACCATCTACTTATTCAGCATCCACCATCTATTCAGCATCACTCACCAAACATCCACCATTAACACTCACTCTTTTTTTTTTTTTAGAGACAGAGTTTCACTCTTGTTGCCCAGGCTGAAGTGCAATGGCACGATCTCAGCTCACCACATTCTCCACCTTCCAGATTCAACTGATTCTCCTGCCTCAGCCTCCTGAGTAGCTGGGATTACAGGCATGTGCCACCACGCCCGGCTAATTTTGTATTTTTAGTAGAGACGGTTTCTCCATGTTGGTTAGGCTGGTCTTGAACTCCTGACCTCAGGTGATCCGCCTGCCTCAGCTTCCCAAACTGCTGGGATTACAGGTGTGACTCACCGCGCCCGGCCAACACCCGCTCTTTATGATCTACCAGCAGCCATGTATCAATTTATGCACCAGTCATTCTCCATGCACCATTCCCTGATTATCATCCATTCATTTTTCACTCACCATCCTCATCCATCCATCCATCACCCATCCACACCGTCAACCATTCACCATTCACCCGCCAGGTATCCAGATGGCCTATGCCAAGCACCATCCATCCACCATCAATGCTACTGTCAATCAGCTGTCCCCGACTCACCATCCATCATTCTCTATCAGCATCCACAGTCCACCCTCGTGTACCATCCACACAGCACGTTCTGTCCAGTATCTTCCTTCTGTGGTCCAACCACCACCCACAATCCATGGGAGGCGGGCACTGCGTGGAGAAGTGGGCGTCCAGTCCCAATGGTGAGCAGACTAGGCTCAGCCCCAGCAGCACCCAGGACAGAGAAAGGGGTGAATTCAAAGGTCGCCCCCCTCCCAGCAAGACACTGTTTTACAGGGCAGGTCAGTCCCCACAAGCGCTTCTTGCTCTTCTTCCTGGGAACCTAAGGTGTTCAGGCCCTGCAGGAGCCAGTAAGGAGATGCCGGGAAGGTGCCTCCCAGGCGCCTGAAGAGTCGGCCCTGGGCGGGTCTGGAGGTAAATGTGTAACGGACCCCTGTGCCCCCACCCGACCTGCCTGGTCACGCGGGCCCAGTGGGGCAAAGTCTCCTGGTCGGGCAGGGAGCAGAGGCGAGATGGGCGCCCTGGGCCGGGTCCTGCTGTGGCTGCAGCTCTGCGGTGAGCTGGGGTCACACCGAGGGGGCCAGGACGGCAGCGGGTCTGTCAGGATCAAGGGCCAAGGTCCTTCTAGGACTGGAGGGTGAAGATCTTCCGAGGGGTGGGCAGGGAGGGCTTGGGTGGGGGGCGTGAAACTCGGCCTGGCTTCCCTCATCGGGCGCGTGCGTCGTCCGGGAGCGCGCGGCGAGTGCATCCGGCGGTGCGGGAGAGGAGGGGGTCTGGGAGAGGAGGGTCCGGGAGAGGAGGGGGTACGGGAGAGGAGGGGGCGTGGGAGAGGAGGGGGTCCGGGAGCCTCCACCAGCCTCGGCCTCCAGAGGCTCCTGCCCTCGCGGCTTTTCCGTCTGCGAAATGGACGCGGTCCCCAGACGCTGCGGAGAGCAGCGAGTGAGCGTGTGGGAGTCTGCGGGGCTGGGCAGCCTGCCTCAGTTTCCCGGTCCCCGAGGGAGCACTGAGCCCTCCCCCAACCCTTAACACCAGGCAAGCGCGTGTCCCTGGCGCCCACTTCCAACGCCGGAAAAAATTCAGTCCATTCCCTGTCCCTCTTCCCTGGGCCCCTGGGGGCTCCCTCAGGACAACCCCACCCACCCTGTTCACGGCCGGCCTCACCTGGTCCTGCGGCCCCCAGCCCTTTCTTACTTCTCATGCCCGGAGGCGCTTTCTGCCGCAGCTCTTCCCGGCCCAGGTAGGACTCCTCCAGGAAGCCTTCCTGATTCCAAGGCCGAGGAAGAGGTCTGCGCTGCCCCATCCTCCTCATTGCCCCGGTTGTCACTGTCCTGGACAACCCTGTCCTCTGCTCCAGCGCCAGGCAAACGGGGGGCAGAACGGGAAGACGATCTAGGCAGGCGTCCTTAGGGCAAGGCTGAGCGGGCTCTGCAGATACAATAGAAGTCCCTCGGAGAGTGCCCGGGCCGGGCGCCCACAGTCTGGCCTGACGCCGGGAGGGACCAGGGCCTGGGCCTGGGCCGCGGGGGATGGAGCTCCTATGCGTCCGGACGGGGTGGCCCGCGCGGACCCTCCGCAGCTCTCTGGGTGGGTGGCTTTCCCTCAGAAGGGGGCGTCCCAGCGAGAACTGCGGGCACTCAATTGCCTCCTCCCCAGCACTGACCCAGGCGGCCTCCAAACTCTGGGTCCCCAACACCGACTTCGAGGTCGCAGCCAACTGGAGCCAGAACCGGACCCCGTGCGAGGGCGGCGCCGTCGAGTTCCCGGCGGACAAGGTGCCTGGGAGCCCCGGCGGGGTCGGTGCTGGGCCTGGATCCTCGGCCCAGGTGGGGCCGCTCCTCGCTCGGCTGAACGCAGCTTCTCCCTGCAGATGTTGTCAGTCCTGGTGCGAGAAAGTCACGCCGTCTCAGACTTGGTAAGGCGGGGCTGCGGCTGCCACCGGGCGGGGGCTTCGAAACCGCCGAGTCTCCGAACTGTGCCTCGAGGGCCGCCCCACAGGCATGGAGGCGCTGCGGGCCTCCGCCTTTGGCCTCTGGAGAATATTCTAGGAGGCGGGGGGTGGGGGAGATCCTAGGGGAGCTTTGGTCCCATGGTCCCAGCCAGGCTGTGTCCTTGGAGGGGTGGGAGGCGCCCCTGTCCCCAGGGCCCTTCTGGTGCCCAGTCATGGGTGGTCTTCTCGGGAATCGCCCGCTCCATGCCCTTCCCCCAAAGCCTTGCCATGTCCTGGTGCCTAAAGCTCCACCTTTAGAACGCTAGGGCAGGGGTCCCCAATCTCTGCCCACCCACCCTCCGGGTCCCTGGCCGGTTTGGAAGCGGTGCCCAGCAGGAGGTGTCCCATCTGCTCTCTGCCTCCCTTCAGATCAGATCAGATTCTCCTTCTAGAGTCCCCTATTGTCACTGTGCCTGCGCACAGTGGGTGTGCGCTCCTTATGAGAATCCAATGGACAGTCCTTGGAAGAACTGTCTCCCACAAAACTGGCCCCTGGTGCCAAAAAGGTTGGGGACTGCTGCCCTAGGGGAGCTTTTTCTCCAACTGCTTCACACAACACTCCCAGAGAATGATGGGCACTGCGAGGAAAGCAGGCTCCGGGAGCAGGTAAGTTTGGAAAACGCCTAGCTGCACTCGCCTGGGGCTTCGTCACATATTAAAGGCTCTGATGATGCCCTAAAGGAAGAGGCGGATTTCCTTGTTTAAGGTGGGCTTCAGGGGCTACAGGCCAGATGCAGCCCCTATACCTTGGAGCAAGGAATGGATTTTACACTTTGCAACCGTTTCGGAAAAAAGAACAATCTTTTGTGACACTTGAAAAGTCTATGACATTCACACCAAAGTGACCGTAAATACAGCTTCACTGGCATACAGCCTGCCCTCTCAGTGGAGTGTCCTTGGTGGCTGAAGTGTGGTCGCAGCAGCAGGCACCAGCTTCTGGGGTGACCGTGGGGCCCGCAGGCCAAGCCCCTGGGCAAAAGCTTCCTCCCAGCACCTTCACAGCCACTCCAGGGCTGCGACCTCTGCCTGTCACCTGCACACCTGCCAGCTCAGTCACTCCTGAGTGAGGGTCACTGGTGTTGGGTCTGGATGTGGGGGCCAGGCCTGGGGGGCCCCCTGCATGTGTGGGTGGGGGAATGTGGGGTCAGGGACCCTGGGCCTCACACCAGGGCCGCTCGGGTCATTCCTTCGGGTTTTTCAAAGCCACCTTAACCTGAAAGCCACTAGGTGCTGGGCAGCGTTGGGGGGCGGGGGTGGCAGTGTGAGGGGTGGGGGTCCTGACACACCCACTGCAAGATGGCAACACTCCCGCCTGGGCAAAGGGAGGAGGGCAGGGAGAGGGAGGCAGCTGTACTTTGCGGCCCCGCCCCCAGAGCCCATGCATAACCTTGCCAACCAGGCAGCTGGAGTGAGGGGACCCACGGGCAGAGGAGTCAGGAGGGGTGGGGGTTCCAAGGGCCTGGATTCCCCCCACTCCCCTCCCCTGCCGGCCTCCTTACTTTCATGATCTTTGGAAGCGCTTGGGCTCTGAAAGGAGGCAACACTCCATTCATTCATTCACCCATTCAGTCGTTCATCCATTGATCATCCATTGTCTGGTGGGAACAGCGCAAGGGCAGGGGTCCCAGCCTGCAGAGGCAGAATTCACCCAGAGCCTCCAGAGCACCCCCATCCCCTACATGGGCCAGCTCTGTTCCCTTCCACACCCCTGGCTCCTATCATGGTCCCTCTGCCTAGATGGTCCCCAAGTTACAGGCCAGGAACATCAGTGCTTTACTTTATGATTTTCTGGTTGGGAGCGTCCCTCCCTGCGATTTTCCTTTTCCTTGCCCTCCTTCCATTTCTCCCCTTTGCCTGCTTTCTTGCTGGGGGCGGTCTCCTGTCTTCCACTCATTCCCCAGCCGTGGCTGGAGGCTCTGCAAGACTGGGCTCACTGTGGACTTGGTGGCAGTGTCCTGAGCTGAACAGAAACCCTCACTGTAACCTCCCTAATGCAAGCCCCCTAACTGTAGAACTGTGTTTTTGGTGTTTGGTGTGAGAATCCTCTCTGCTCGCGTCAGTCACGAGGGTAATCTGCTACGTACCCATGCGGCACATGCTCCAGGAAGCGGTCCTGCTCTGTCTCTCCCCTTAGAATAAGCCTGGCTCCTCGGGAGGCCGAGGCGGGTGGATCACGAGGTCAAGAGATCGAGACCATCCTGGTCAACATGGTGAAACCCCGGCTCTACTAAAAATACAAAATAAATTAGCTGGGCATGGTGGTGCGTGCCTGTAATCCCAGCTACTCAGGAGGCTGAGGCAGGAGAATTGCCTGAACCCAGGAGGCGGAGGTTGCGGTGAGCCAAGATCGCGCCATTGCACTCCAGCCTGGGCAACATGGGTGAAACTCCGTCTAAAAAAAAAAAAAAGAAGAATAAGCCTGGCTCCCAGCACTCTGCCTTGCCCTTTGGTCCCAGCACTGCCGGAATCTTCCGTGTGCCTGGGTGTTGTGGGTCTCAGCTCTGTCTTCAAGTCCACAAGCCGCACTGCCCACCTCACACTGTCCACATTGGCTCTGCAGGATGGCTTCATATCCGTCGGCGCCACTTGCCCCTTCACTCCTGCTCCAAGGTTCTTTGTGGGTCTGATTGTCGCAGATAAATTGTAGGATAGGTTTGCCAGGTACCAACTATTGCCACCACCACCTCAGAAACCCTGGAATCCCTTTTTTTTTGGCACAGTCTGGCTCTGTCGCCCAGGCTGGAGTGAAGTGGTGTGATCTGAGCTCACTGCAACCTCCACCTTCCGGGTTCAACCAATTCTCCTGCCTCAGCCTCCCGAGTAGTTGGGATGATAGGAATTTAGACTGGGAGAAACAATAAATAACTGCCTTATGCTGTCAAGCCATCCATTCGAGAGCATGGACGGCCTCTCCAAGTATTTCAGATCATCTCTGTTCTCTTTCGAGTCTTAAAATGTTCCCTGTAGAGGTCTTGTATTGGTTAATTCATCAACACTTTGTAACTTTGGTTTTTTGAGACAGGGTCTCACTCTGTTGCGCAGGCACCAGCACGGCTCACTGCAGCCTTGACCTCCCTGGGTTCAAACAATCCTCCCACCTCAGCCTCCTGAGTAGCTGGGACTACAGGCTTGCGCCACCACACCCGGCTAATTTTTGTATTTTTTGTAGAGATGGGGTCTCATCATGTTGGTCAGGCTGGTCTGAAACTCCTGGGCTCAATTGATATGCCCACCTTGGCCTCCCAAAGTGCTGGGATTACAGGTGTGAGCCCGGCCTTAGGTTTGGTTTCCATTATGAGTGGTGCCCTATATTTAAAAATTATATTCTTTTTATTTTTACATTTTTTTCTAGAGATGGAGTCTCACTATATTCCTCACCAGGCTGGTCTCAAACTCCTGACCTTACCTACTGTGCTCATCTGTTCAATTGATTTTCACGTTTGTATTTTTCCCTTCCTTCTTTAAAAAAATGTGTTCTTGGCCATGCTTCCTCCTGGGAACCCCTCCCTGTTCCTGAGGTGCCTTGTACTGTGACACATTGTGCCCCACCCCCAGCTCCGCCTGTGCGCCCGTGGGTGGAGTTGGCTTGCTGGCAGTGCCACACCCTCAGGTGTGCCCGAAACACCGCTTTGATCAGGTGCAGGGCTCCTGGAAAAGCCGAAGTGTGGGCCCTGGCCCGGGTGGGGGGTGAGGTTGGGGTGGGCACGCCCTGCTGTGCTGAGCCCCTCATAACCTGGCACCAAGGGTTGCCCTGGCCCAGCGCTCACCCTCAGCCCCTGAAGCAAGAAGGCAGGAGGCCGAGGTCCTGGCACTGGGAGGAGAGGAAGAGTGGAAGGGCGGGGGGTCAGACCCCCATATTTCTGCTGACACCCCGGGCCTGGGCTGTGGCCTCACTTAGGTGGTGAGGGAGCTACACGCCGAGCCCAGGCCTAGGAAACAGCAGGGGCAGCTCCACCGCCCGCGACGCGCCCTGCTTCCTGCTGCACCCAGGTTGCAGCCCCTCCCTCCCTCCCTCCCTTCTTCCCTCCCTGCCTCCATCACACACCCAGAGCTTGGCCTCAGACTCCCCAGGGGCCGGACAAGGTTTGAAACCAGTTCCTGGAAGCCGGGAGCCCTTGGCCCGTGCACGTTCTCCGGGGGGATGGGGGAGGGGACAGGCCCTGGCAAGAGTCATCCCTGCCCGACTCCCCACGGCTCCGTCCTGATCCCAGGCTCGGGCTCTGTCCCTGGCCTGTGTGACCTCCAGCTCAGGGACAGGACACTGGGCTGTGCCCGCTCGGGGCCTTGCACACGCGGCCCCATCTTTCCCAGGCCAGATTCTCCTCTCCTCCTCTGCCAGCCTCAGCCAGGCCGAGGACCCCGGGCCTGAGCTCCCCTGGGTCCCCTCCGCGGACTCGGTCTAGCTTCTCGCCCCAGGGCACTGGGGGCGGGGTGGGCGCGGAACAGGCCGGGTCTCCCGCGTGGCGCCGCCTCAGCCCGTGCCTCTTGCAGCTCCTGCCGCTGGATGGGGAACTCGTCCTGGCTTCAGGAGCCGGATTCGGCATCTCAGATGCGGGCTCGCACTGGGGCTGTGGAGCCGGTGAGGCGTTCGGGCAATGGCGGGGCTCTGGGAGGGGCGACAGGGGGCGGGACCGGAGGGGGCGTGTCCGGGGCGGGGCTTGGGGCGTGGCGGGAGTGTCCCGAAGGGGAGCTTGGGAGCGCGTGCTCAGGGGCGTGGCGCAGCGCGGGGCTTGCTCCGTGGAGCTCAGGGGTGCGCCCCGCTCAGGCAACCCTGCGGTCTTCCGCGACCCTGACCGCTTCTCCTGGTATGACCCGCACCTGTGGCGCCCCGGGGACGAGGCACCTGGCCTCTTCTCCGTGGACGCCGAGCGCGTGCCCTGCCGCCACGACGACGTCGTCTTTCCGCCCAGTGCCTCCTTCCGCGTGGGGCTCGGCCCTGGCGCTGGCCCCGTGCGAGTCCGCAGCATCTCGGCTCTGGGCCGGGTGAGTACGGCCGGGTGGGAGGCTCGGGTCCCCTCTCCCCGCCCCTCCCGGTCTGCACACGTGGGTGAAATGAGCACTCAGGTGTTGCCTCCTCCTCGGGCTGGCTCCCGTGGGGACCCGGCTTCCCGCAGACGTTCACGAGCGACGAGGACCTGGCTGCTTTCCTGGCGTCCCGCGCGGGCCGCCTGGGCTTCCATGGGCCGGGCGTGCTGAGCGTGGGCCCGGAGGACTGCGCCGACCCGTCGGGCTGCGTCTGCGGCAACGCGGAGGTGAGCGCGGCCGCAGTGGAGTCTCGGGCCGCGCGAGGGTCGGGACTGTGCCCGGGACCCCCCACGGTCTCTGGCCAGCTCGCCTCTCGGACGCCTCGCCCTTCTCGCTGCGCTCCGCCCTGGCCCTCCGCGCTGACCACTGCCCCTCGCCCCAGGCGCAGCCGAGGATCTGCGCCGCCCTGCTCCAGCCCCTGGGCGGCCGCTGCCCCCAGGCCGCCTGCCACGGCGCCCTCCGGCCCCAGGGCCAGTGCTGCGACCTCTGCGGTGAGCGTCCCGCCCGGGCCCTGCTTGCTGGGACCGCCTGGAGGACCAGGCTCGACCCCCGCCAGTTTCCTGCCGGGTCCGGATCCACGGCGCTGACTCCTGCCCTCCCGCCCCGCCGCAGGAGCTGTAGTGTTGCTGACCCACGGCCCCTCATTTGACCTGGAGCGGTACCGGGCACGGGTACTCAGCACCTTCTTGGGCCTGGTAATGGGGCCGCACGGGCAGCTGAGGGGCGTCCCCAGCCCTACCGCTTCCGCCAGGACTCCCCTTCTGCAGGGGCCCCTGGGCCGCCCACCTGCCCGCCATCCGCCTCTGCCCTCAGCGTCCCCATAGGCTCGGGGGGCTGAGTCAAGCCAACCCCGTCCCCCTCCCCAGCCTCAGTACCAGGGGCTGCAGGTGGCCGTGTCCAAGGTGCCACGCTCGCCCCGGCTCCGCGAGGCCGACACGGAAATCCAAGTGGTGTTGGCAGAAATGGGGCCCGAGACGGGCGGCGCGGGGCGGCTGGCCCGGGCCCTCCTGGCAGATGTCGCTGAGCACGGTAATCGCGCCCGCCGCGTCCCGCAGCTCCCCGCCGCGCCTCGCCGCGGGGGAGACTGAGCCGGCCCCTCCGTCGTAGGCGAGGCCCTCGGCGTCCTGGCGGCGACCATGCGGGAGTCTGGCGCGCACGTCGGTGTCGGCTCCGCGGCTGGACTGGCGGGCGGCGTGGCGGCCTCGCTGCTGCTGGCGCTGCTGGTGCTGCTGGTGGCGCTGCCGCTGCTGCGCCGCGCGGGGAGGCTCAGGTGCGCGTGGCGGGACGGGGTCGAGGCGGGGCTGGGGGCTGCCCCGAGGGGCTCACGCAGCGTCCCCGCTACGCCCTCAGGTGGAGGAGGCGCGAGGAGGAGGTCCCGGCCGGGGCGCCCCTGGGCTTCCACAACCCAGTGTTCGACGTGGCGGCTTCCAAGGAGCCGGTGAGGGGGCGGGAAGGGGGACCGGGGCCTCCTCGGGCCGGGACTCGGCGCCCGACGCCTCTTGACCCTGTCACCCCGCAGCAGCCCCGGCCGCGGCTGCTCAGCGGGACTCCGAAGGCGGCCACAGGCAGCACCAGCCACAGTTACTTCGTCAACCCTCTGTTCGCCGGGGCTGAGGCTGAGGCCTGAGCGGCTGCGTGACCATCAACCTGGGGGCTCCCCACCCGCTTTGGCCCTAGAACCTCCCCCATCCCGGTCGACCTGGGGGCTACCCCTTGTCCAGCCCCCAGACCTCCCCTACCCCACCCCCCGCAGGGGCCAAGGACAGGGAGCCCTTGCACAATAAATGTGTTTCCTGTACCATCTGGGGCGGCCAGAGGCTGGGGTCTGTGAAGTTGAACCCAGAACTAAGAAGGGGGCTTTACCCCCCTTCCGGTGTGGGTGGTGACAAGCCGGAGGGCAGAGGGTTGGGAGAGAGGCAAGGGGTCGGGGCGAGCCAAAGGCGGTGCCTGAAGGGGGCAGAAAAGGGGGCGGAAAAGCACCCCTCCTGGCACCAACCTGCTGGGACTGGGAGGGGCCTGGCCCCCAGGTGGACACAGATGGCCTTGGGGCCCTGCTGCATAGCTACCTCGCAGCCAGACTTTGGCAGTCCCTGCAAGGCAAGGCCATGCTCTCCCTTTCAGGGTGGCTCTGACCTGGTGGGGTCGGTGCCAACACTGAGCAGCAGGGGTGAGGACCCAGCTGGCCCTTCCCTGCGTCACTGCGAAGGCAGATCACGGTATCACGTGTGTGCAAGTGTGCAGCCCTGCACTCACACAAACGTGCACCCCTGCACTCAGACAAGGGTGCACCCCTGCAATCACAGACAAGTGTGCACCCCTGCAATCACAAGCGTGCACCTCTCCACTCACACAAACGTGTACCCCTGCACTCACAAGGGTGCACCCCTGCAATCACACCAAGCGTGCACCACTGCACTCAGACAAGTGTGCACCCCTGCACTCAGACAAGCGTGCACCCCTGCACTCACAGACAAGCGTGCACCCCTGCACTCAGACAAGCGTGCACCCCTGCACTCAGACAAGCAAGCGTGCACTCCTGCACTCACAGACAAGTGTGCACCCCTGCACTCACAGACAAGCGTGCAACGCTGCACTCACAAGCTTGCACCCCTGCACTCAGACAAGCGCGCACCCCTGCACTCAAGCGTGCACCCCTGCACTCACAAGTGTGCACCCCTACACTCAGACAAGCAAGCGTGCACCCCTACACTCAGACGAGCAAGCGTGCACCCCTGCACTCACAAGCGTGCACCCCTGTACTCAGACAAGCGTGCAGCCCTGCACTCACAAATGTGCACCCCTGCACTCAGACAAGTGTGCACCCCTACACTCACAGACAAGCAAGCATGCACCCCTGCACTCAGAAAAGGGCCCGATCCTGTGTGTGCAACCTAAACTGTGGCACGGCGACCACTTCTGTGAAACCAGCATCTAGGCTGAAGATGTCACCAGCACCCGCAGTCATGGCCCAGTCCCCACTTGGAATCTTCTGCCCAGGGGCCCAGCTCAGTCACCACACCAGGACATGTCCTGTAACCCAGATCAGGATGCTGTGCTTCAGGGTGTGTCTGTGTTGTGGTTCAAATGTGTCACTTTTGGTGCTGTGCACTGTCCTGTCAAGTGACCGCCACAGTTGACGCCTGTGCTCGAACGGCTACCATTTGAGTTTAAAAAGTGGCTGATACCCCCACAAGCACATTACAGGCACATTTTGAGTGGCAAGTGCAAATTGGGGAGCAAACCTGAGCTGACCTGGCAAAACCTGCTGCCCGCTGCTCAGCTCACTCATAGACGAGACTGTGCCACCAGAGACCCGCCCCTGGTGTGGGGTGTGGGAGGAGATGCTCTGGGGGACCCCCCTGTGGTGTGAGCTGTGGGAGGAGATGCTCTGGGGGACCCCCCTGTGGTGTGAGCTGTGGGAGAAGATGCTCTGGGGGACCAGCCCCTGGTGTGGGCTGTGGGAGGAGATGCTCTGTGGGACCCGCCCCTGGTGTGGGCTGTGAGGAGATGCTCTGGGGGACCAGCCCCTGGTGTGGGCTGTGAGGAGATGCTCTCGGGACCCGCCCCTGGTGTGGAAGAACATTCTCTGTGGGACACGCCCCAGGTGTGGGCTGTGAGAAGATGCTCTGGGGGACCCGCCCCTGGTGTGGACTGTGAGGAGATTCTCTGGGGGACCCGC